TATTAAGCTTTCCCCTTCATTGCAGTCTTCTAATAAGGAACATTTTGTATTAGAAATGGAAACAGAGGCATCATCCTTGTTTTTCTTCAACAAATTTCGGTCTTCATATAAACTCCTAAACACTTTAGAAGGAACCAAAGTAGAGTCATGTGCGTTGAACGATTGCCGGGGTATACGTGATGCTGCTGGATCAATGTGCTCCAAGTGCTGAGCAATCCTTGCAATCACATCTTGCCGCTCCTGGAGTAATGAGCCTATTAAAGGGTTCGTCTCCCCGACAGACCGATGAGAATAAAGACCATTAGCAGTACAAGTTTCACTTCGAGGAATTTCTGGTTTTACTCGGATCTTCCCCTCACTGCTGTCTTCTGAGGAGGTAAGCTCTGGACTACCGAAAGAAATGGAGAAAGTCTCTTTACATTTTCTCACATTTTCATTTTCTTGTGAAACCCGGAAAAGTTTTGAATTAACTGAACTAGACTCTTGAGTATTAAATACATGTCCAGAAACATGTGAACTGCTTGGATCACAATGGATCAAATGCTGAGCAATTCTTGCAATAACTTCTTGTCGATCCTGAATTAAAGAGCATACTAAAGGATTAGTCTCACCAACTGGCTGCCAGGAACTCTGGCGACTGGGGACACTGGAATCAATCATTGAAAATGATTTTAAAGTCCTCACTGATGTTTCATGTGACTTTTTATCTCCTGTACCACTGAAGCCCACAATATTGGCTTGACAAGTTCCATAGTCAGATTTACTGCCAGGGCCTGGATACAGTTTGCCATTTTTGACAGCTGCAGTGTATTCTGGAGGGGTGCCACTTTTTGCATGTAATACACTTTCAGGTGCCACGGTCCAAGTCTGCTTGCTACACACACGCTGTGAACTGTTTGTACTACACTGTTCTGCTTCGTTAGAATTGTGGTGCTGATGGGCTTTAAGTTCATGTTCTTGAATTCCTTTCTCATAAAGGCCAATATTAGTATGAATACTACACGTCAAAATTGGGTAATTAGATTGTCTGGGCAAGGACTGAACGCTGACTTTCAAGGCCACATTGTGAGAAACATTGGGAACAGGAAACACATGTTCAATTGGAGTCTGTGAAAAATTCCACTGCAGGTCGACATCAGCAGCACTGATTCTAGAATCACACAGAAAAATATGGAATCGATGGGTTATGAAAATCATTACTGTATAGTATTTTTTAAAATTTTAAACAGTCATATACTTATCTTTGTTTGCATTAATTATGATTGAGGTTTTGCTTTTAGCTACTTTGCCATGCATGTCATTCTGACAAAACCAACAAAAGAAGTATAGATTATGCTTCAAATACTAGTAGAGATGATCTTCTTTTTAAGAACACTAGACCGACCACGCAAGCATTAAAGCTCAAGAATATTATAATTTAAAATTACCTGTCAGAGCAGAAAGAATAAAAGGACTTTGTATTTACCACTAAATAATTGGATTCAGCTAATTCTATTGTGCAAGGTGATTAAGAGATACTCTATCTGATGGCCACCTGCCTAAAGAGACAATTATAGATGTTTGTTCAGCAGTTTGTATGTTTATAGTTATCAAAATGGCAAAAATTAAGAAAGCCTGCCATTACGGAAATTCAGCAGCCCTGAATGTTTTTCTACTTTATTTATAATGGCAGCACTAAGTTCACTGTTGGTTCTATAAACCAAGCATAAAAGTTCTCTGCAAACTATTCCATATCAAATGTAACCTGAGAAACAAAACTCATACTAATTCTTATCAACATTTCTGTAACTTGTTTTGAGAAAAATGCCAGTAAATTGTATCCACTTATATTTAGAAATGAAAGAAATAAAATACTGAAAAGGTAAAATATCATTCAGGAGCTAACCAATGCAGTTGAATACACACTGCTCTTTTTGTGCCTACACATACCTGTAAAGAATATTTCGCGGAATAGCACCATGAGAAACACTCAGCCAAGCACTTAACTGAGAAAAAAACACAAATGAGCGGACAGCCAATAGAAGGGTCTTCTCTTCAATAAATCGATCACCACTCCTAAGGGAAGTAAAAAAAAAAAAAGCATCATCTAAATGTCAGCAAGTACAAAATAACTGAGTTTTTGATAGAAGCTGAAACAAACATATCCCTCAGGATGTCTGCTTTCAAGAGCATAGCAGATTTACCGGTTGTCACTTAAAGTTAGTTATAACTGTACTAAGTGTCTACAGTTATATCTGTACTAAATTTTACTAAATAAATAAAGGGATACTGAAAAAGTATATATAATTACAATAATGTACAGAAAGTTGTGGGAAACCTGATTTACCAGGAACAACTTGAAACTCAGTTGTACAACTTACTGTCGAGGAACCGGCTCCAACACCCATCTTTCTAGTAATAATGCGTCTTGCTTGATTGCAGGGTCGTTGAGGTCCACGCCGTCCGTGGTGGGCCCCTCGTCGCTGTAGCAGCAGTCTGGCAGCAGCATCACCTCCACCATGATCGGAAGGCTGTTCTTCCACAGCAGCGCGACCTCAGACCTGGTTCGTCTGGCTTGGCGACACTTCGAGAAAATGAATATAAGCCAAAGGTCTTAGTAAACCCCACAAGCGTATATTTTACTTTGAAAATTACAATTGTCAAGTACATATCTATATGAGAAATGAGTCATCAATTGTAGAACTCGCTTAGATTTGCCTATTTAGGTTTCCTCACTAAATAATGAATTCACACTAGTGAGCTCTAAAGTTCAAGGATTAGTTTTGAACAACATTTATGATGCAAATTTTCTGGTGGGGAGGGACATCTTTGCTCTTTCTTGAGGTGGCCTAGCATTGCCTAGTTTGTTAATTACATCATCATTACAGAGGAAAGACTCATTCTAAGCGAAGATCAAAATATTAAATACTCATTTTCATTAAATGCTCAATATATACAAGATTAAGTATATACAATATATACCAGTTAAAATTTTTGGACTACATTTAAGAAACTAACTGGGGAAAAAATCCTTACGGCAAATTCGACAGTACTTACCAAAATAAATATTTTAACCATAGTTTATCCCAAAACATTAATATGATAGCAAAATGCATCCACCCATTAAAAAAAAAGAAATATAGAAATTTGGTTAAAGTGGGGAAAATAATTATTAACATCAGTCCACTAAATAAATAAGAACATAAAGTCAATGAGCCAGGGCTGAGACTCTAAAAGAAAGAAAGCTGAATCAGCAGCAAATAGAATGTTAAACCTGGTGTGTGAGAAGGCAGGTCTGAAATCGGCTGCCCACCTGCCTGCCGATCAGCAAAACTACCCAGTGCCTCCCAGAGCTGGTTTAAGAGCCAAGGTTGTTGGCTATGGTCCAGGATTAGGATTTTCTTCGTTAACGGCTGTGACCGACTTTATATTTAAATGTGGGCATTGTAATTGCAGTGTAACAAAAGTGATGACAGAATCTGTGTAGTTTATATAAAAGATAAATAAAAAGAACTCAACACACAATTCTTACCTGGGCCAGCTTGTCACTGCATTCATGTTTGGTAGTTACTGGGTAACAGGACTGTGCTGGAGGGCAATGGAAACTTTCTGAACGACCTTTTACAGAACATTCGGGTGTTCGTCCTTCTGTTATTAACAAGGCCAAGGAGACCAAGAACTCCTCTGCATCGTATTCAAAATATTCATCTAGAGTATCTGGTATTTAAAAAAAAAGAGAGAAAGAAAAAAGCACTTGCTTTAATGAACTCTCTTGATAAGAACTCATCTTTTATGTCTAAAATAACTGTCACATTCCATACTCAAGTATATTCACTAACAAAGGACTGAAAAGAGAATAAAAATGAGGCAATTAAACTCCTGATTCACAAGGTACACAGAGTCAGGAGATGATGCATAATTCAAAATTCCAGTTAAGACAAAGCTGGTAAAAATTATGGCATAAAATTGGTTTTATGCAAACTTCAGTTAAAATACCAAAGATTTAGGAATGCCATTTTTAATCCTATAGATAATTATGTTTTTGGATGTCAAGTATAATAGTTTTCACACAAAAGCCTTCAACACTAGCCAAAGGTTAAAGTGTTTTATTATGTCACCTTTTAGGCTAAGATGTTTTATTACTATTTTTAAATACTAGAGGCCTGATGCACGAAATTCGTGCAAGGGCCTTGGCTCCAGCCCCCGCCGCCAGGCCAGAGCCTCTGCCGTCTCTGCCTCAGCACCTGCCCGCTGTGGCTTTGTTCGGAAGGAAGGATACCCGGAAGGATGTCCAGTTTAATTAGCATATTACCCTTTATTATTATAGATTAGGAAAATATGCAGATCCAGATGCATGTCTCTTCCCCTTTTCTCCCTCTCCCTTCCTTAACTAGTGCCTTATTTTCGAAGCCCTAATTCTGTGATGTGGACACTTGTAGCCACAGGGATCTTCTCTGCCTTTCCTAGGCAGTAGTAGCAGTTTCAGAGGGAGAAATGCTGTAATTATCCAGCAGGCGGTGCAGGCCTGAATTGCTAGACATAAGTTGTGATATTTTTTGGTTACTATGCAGTTCCAAACAATCTAACCTGCAGGTATTTTCACTTATTTTCAGTAATTTTTCAATTTCTTACAAGTGCTCTAATTTTTAAAAACAGATTACTTTCAAAATTTCTATCTTGCTACACAGGTTGAACATGCATGCACATGTACACACATGTGCACACACAAAATTCAGTTTGTTGTGCAATCAGATTAAGCAACATATATTTTAAGTATGTGCCTGCTACACTGTGTTAGGCCCCAGGTGGACAGAGCGCTATATTTTACATAGCTCTTAATCTACAAGGGCTTATAATTCAGAGATTATATTAAAGACAAAGAGAAGACTGCAACTTTTAATATATTCCAAAGAAGCTCAGATAGTGGTAAAATTTTGCAAAAGAGGTAGTTGTTGAGCAGAACCATGAAAGAGAAAGTGCAACCTGAGTGGAAAATGTGGAAATGGCAGGCAGGACTGGAGATGGACCTGAGCAGCCTTGAAAAGGGAGCCTGGAGAATGCCTACTCATGCGGGCTCAACAGGAAAAGAAGGGGCCTTGAATGCCAACTTGATTGAACTGGTATTTTAAGACCATTTAGAAAGTTTCCTTAAATTGACCATTTATAACACCTACAATAAGAGCTAACAATTAGTGACACTGTCAAGGCACTACCAGTTTTAAGTACTTTCTACACATGAACTCGTTTAGTCTTCAGATCAGCTCTAGAAGGTGAGAACAATTACCACCCTTTTATGACAGCTGAAGCACAGAGAGGTTAAAGCATCTGTGTAAGATCACTGAGCTAAGAAGCAGCAAAGATGGAATTTGAACCTATACAGTCTGGCTCTAGAGTCTAGATTCTTAACCACCCCATACATGTCTTCATTCACTCTGGGTATAAATTTTGTTTTTATATACTTTAATATTATGTTTGTAAAATTATAAATGAAAATAATATCTATTCAACATATATTTTAATAATACATTTTGGAATATTTATGGTATAGAATTAGTTTCCAGGAATAGTACCCTAATCTATATATATAAAAGGCTAATATGCAAGTGTCCCTTTGGGAGTTCAACCAGGAGAACGGGAGTTTGATTGCTCACTATGACATGCGCTGGCCACCAGGGGGAGGTGCTATATAAAAGGCTAATATGCAAGTGTCCCCTTGGGAGTTCAACCAGGAGAACGGAGTTTGATCGCTCGCTATGACATGCGCTGGCCACCAGGGGGAGGTGTGGAACATGGCAGGCAACCAGTGTTGGTGGTGGGGCGCTGAGGGAGCAAAGGAAGGAGGAGGCAGAGGGGTGGGGAGGCGGGGAACTTGATTGGCCCTGATCTAGAGCCAGGCCTAGGGACCCTACCCATGTATGAATTTCATGCACTGGGCCTCTAGTTTATAATAATGTGCCAATGGGGGGGAAAAGAAGAGGTCTCTACTTTCAACTCTCCTCCAGGGCCCAATGAGGTCATACATAAATCAGGCGTTTCCTGTGTTCTCCTGGGACTCACTAAGGTAAATCATGGTGTCCTTCAGAGGGGAGCGAAAGACGTAAAAAGGACTCCATTCAGTCTCTTTCTCTGCTGGTTCTGCAGGTTTTCAAGGCCAGTTCAGGCTTACCATGGGCTACATGGCATGTTAGCTCCTGGGATACTTCTCTGGGCTCATCCTGGCCCCTCCCTCAGTTTGTGGGATAATTCTGGGGAGCTAAGAACTGTGGCAGAGCAGTGGCTCCTGATCTATGGAATGCTGAGTGGTGCCCAGCTGTCAGTTACTAAGGGTGGCCCACAACCTAACTAATGTCTCATATTTATGTGCTACTTAAAAAAAAAAAAAGTATAGTATTTCTACTGCTGAGAGAAAACTACCCAGTCAGATTAGGGAGGAGGGAAAGGGCATGTGGAAAGGGGAGTATGAGAGAGTGTTTTTGTTGTCTTTTGGTCTAACAGTACCCTTTCACTCATTATCCGTATGCCTGCAAGACGATAATTCATCTCCAAAGCACTAGCAGGAATGGCTTACTTATACGTTAGGAACCATCACATTTAAAGCAATAAAAACTGAATTGTTATAAAAAAACACTTTTGAATAATCAACATTTGACTAAAATTGGGTTATTTTGGTCATTATCTCCTCAGATAGTAAACTCCAAAACCATGATCTGAGATCCTTTGAATGACTTATTGAACTTAGCCAAAGTAGTGAATATTTATATGAAATAATTGAAACAAAGATTAGAGATGACAGCAGTTATCTGTAGTTAGCTATGTAACTGTTACATAAGCATTGCAAGGAACAGTATGAACTATACAATGGTATTATGAAACACATAAAATACTGCCTACGTGCATGTGACTATGTGATGACAACCTTTAGAAATTTGTCAGGAAAAATTTATGGGTGTCTGAATTTTAATTAATGAGAATATTAATCACTAGTCATTAGAAAAGTTGCACAGTTTAAATTTGATAATGTCAACCTCTAAAATACCAGGGAGCAGAGTTTACTGTAGTAAAGAATACGAATAGCAACTGGGAAATATCACGTCAGGCTAAAGAAAACTCAATAGATATAACTTGATATTTTGATGATATTAAAGACAAACACAACATAACTTACTCCAGAAATAAGTTATGATTTCAGGACCCCTAAAAACAATTTACCTTTACAAAAACAAAAAGTGTTTCAAATCTAGACAAATGTGGCGAGGCTTACCTACTAGTTACACATTTTACAAGAGATAAATGATTTGGAAACTATAACATTGAAGAAAACAAAGAATTTTATCATGTTCCACAGGCTATGAGAGACAGGTCATTGGAGATTGGAAAGTAATCAATCACAACATCGTTCGGAGCCCCTCTTCCTCCAAGACCTCCATGAGGACTGTGCTTGCACCACAGTCTGGCTGAGAGCCGTGACTGGACTTGCTGCTTTTTAGTGACATGCTCGCCTGGCTCTGGAGTTTACCCATATTCTTAAAGTTTGCCATCTTTTCTGTCCAACAAAAAAAGGTGAACAATTTGGCCACTGGAAAAACTCTGAACAATCAGAGTGGATCCACAGACAAATCCACTAACTTGGGAAGTAAATTCTTCATCACAGGGTTCAAGGACTGACTGATAAACAATTGTCAGGGGTGTCATTGAAGGGATTTAAAAATGCTTATACCAGTTTTAAAAAATGGAATAAACTTAAATGTCCAATAATATGGGACTGGCTCAATATACTGTGGTATATATCTAAAATAAATCTACTTTTGACAAGATATCTACAGTGTAAGTGAAAACACAATGTTTCATAAGAATGTTGATTATGTGTTCGTGGTATACATAGGCATACATGCACTGAAAGATATACATACTAACAAACTATTATCAGTCCTATAAAGCAAACACACAAACATAAACTGCATTTTATTATTATTATTATTATTATTATTATTATTATTATTTAATTGGTTTTAGAGAGAGAAACATTGATGTGAGAAACATTGACATGTGCCCTGACGGGGAACAGAACCTGAAACCTTTGGGTGTATGGGACAATGTTCCAACCAACTGAGTCACATCCTCAAGGGCCATAAACTAAATCTGAAATAAATTACTATTCTCTGACTAGTATTAGATAAATGATAAGGCCTATTAATTGAAAAGTAACACATAAATAAAAGCATTACTAGTGTCATGTACTTTAATTAATTAGTTATTGTTTTGTAGAACCCCTACTATGTTTGGTTACTTAACATAGGAATTTGTGACCTTCCTCTTTCCTCTTTCCTCTTGGAGCTTGTGGAGGCCTGCTGGGAACAGGGCTTGTAAAACAACAAAGTGTGTGGAAGGCTGAGGTCCAAGGCCATTTTTGCTGGCTATAAGTGGGGTCTCTGGAACCAGGAGGAGCACACAGCTCTTCTTAAAACTGAAGGTGTTTAGAAATAAGCCAGTCAGAGAAAGACAAATACCATATGATCTCACTTATATGTGGAGACTAATGAACAAAATAAACTGATGAACAAAATAGGAACAGAGGCATGAATAGGATATATGGAACAGACCCACAGCTGTCAGAGGCGAGGGGGTACTAGATGAAGGGATTAACCAAAGAACACATATGCATGACCCACAGACACAGACAAAAGTGTGGTGTTGGCGAGAGGGAAGGGGCAGGGGGCAAGGGCTGGGTGGAGGTGGGCAAAGTGGGGCGTGGGGGGATGGGGACATCTATAATAGTGTAAAGAATAAAATAAAATAAAAACAACTGAAGGTGTTTATGCTGGAGATGAAACTGAATTCTATCTAGGCAAGAGATGTGCTTATGTGTACAAGGCAAAGAACAACACAGTGACTCTTGGTGGCAAACCAAACAAAACCAGAGTAACCTGGGGAAAGGTAACTCGTGCTCATGGAAACAGTGGCATTGTTTATGTCAAATTCCAAAGCAGCCTTCTTGCTAAGGCCATTATACACAGAATCCGTGTAATGCTGTACCCCTCAGGGACTTAAAATTATTGAAAAGCAAATAAATACAAGTGGATATGTTCTATTATAATATATATATGAATTTATGAAGACATACATGGGGGAATTGTGAAGCATACAGGTTCTAGTGTTAAAGACTGGAACTTAGCAGTCTACAAAGAGAGTAAAAGAAACACTTCTTTTGTAAATATAAACTTAAAAAAAACTCTCACCAAGATGTTTATTGATTTGAGAGAGAGAAACACCAATTGGTTGCCTCTTATATGTGCCCCAACTGGGGATCCAACCCACAACCTAGGTATGTACCCTGACAGGGAACTGAACCCATGACCTTTTGGTATACAGGATGATGCTCCAACTGAGTCACACTGGCCAAGGCTTAAGAATAACTTAAAAAAAAAATTTAGGTGAAAGCTAGACTCTCATATTGATGAGAAACATATATGGATGGATCTGAGGATAGGTGTTAAGAATTAGCAGAAGAGGTTATGCTCAAAGAACAGGACTTTCAGTTGACTTAACCAGTATGTAGTAGGTATTAAGACTTCATTTATTCAACAAATATTCATCATACACCTACTGTGTGCCAGGCACTTTCCTAGATACTGAGAATTGGAGCTTACATTCTAGTGGGAGCAGAGAAAAACAAATTAATAAGAAAAAATCAGATGGTGCTAAGTGCTGTGCCATCATTGTCAAAAGGGTGATGTGAGAGTGATGTATATTGAGTATTCAGGGGAGGCTTTTCTGAGCAGATAATATTTAAGCTGAGATCTGAACAAGAAGCTAGCCTTTCGAAAAATAGGGGAGAGAGTATTCTGAGAAGAGGGTGTAAGGTGAGAATGAATGGGTAACGTGTCTGGAACTCAAAGGAGGTTGAGAGAGGCTGGAATGGCAGTGGGAGAGAGGGAAAGTGGTAGGACATGAAGTTTAGAATGGTGCAGGGACTAGATTGGATAGGGTATTGAAGCTATAAGGGGTTTAGATTTTACCCCAAATGCCAAGGGGACCACTGAAGGGTTTTAACTAGAGAAATGGTATGATCTGGCTTACATTTTAAAACCATCACCCTGGTTGCTATCTATAATAATAAAAGTGTAATATGCTAATTAGACCGGACAGCCAAACCTTCTAGACGAAGCCAGGGCTCTGAGGGCCAAGCCCCTTGCGCGAATTTCGTGCATCGGGCCTCTAGTGTTGATAATAAAACAGGAAAGATTCAAAGTAGGTAGATATACTAGTTAGGAGTCACTGTAGTTGTGCAGGGTTGGGGTATAGTTTTGGGAATCATTGGCATTTGGAAAGAGTTAAGAGTCAACAGTTACCCAGAGGAATATGCAGGAAACTCCTAATAGAGCCTGGGGCCCTCCAACAAGAACCAATTAGGTAGATGATGAACCACTACAAGCAGCTGTCAAATATGGTATCTTGAAAGACACAAGAAAAAAAAAATTTCAAGGAGGGTGTGGTTAATGGAATCAAACACTGGTGAGGTTTAATAAAATATAAACAAAGAAGAGGCCACTGGATTTGACAATAAGGAAGTCATTGGTGACCTTGACAACAGTGATCTCAGTAGATGGTGATGATGGAAGCTTGGACAGAGATCAATTATTGTGAATCGTCAATTATTCTGAAGGGTATAGATGATAAACAAAGCCTACTTTAGGTAGATGATGAACCACTACAAGCAGCTGTCAAATATGGTATCTTGAAAGACACAAGAAAAAAAAAATTTTCAAGGAGGGTGTGGTTAATGGAATCAAACACTGGTGAGGTTTAATAAAATATAAACAAAGAAGAGGCCACTGGATTTGACAATAAGGAAGTCATTGGTGACCTTGACAACAGTGATCTCAGTAGATGGTGATGATGGAAGCTTGGACAGAGATCAATTATTGTGAATCGTCAATTATTCTGAAGGGTATAGATGATAAACACAAAAGCCTACTTTCCCTAGTATTCTTTGAACACAATGGCCATTCATGTATCACAATAGCCCTTTCTATAAAAGCAAGATAAGTATTAAATATGCAATATCATCATTCTTACAAATTTGTTGCCAGACCCTAAAACAGAAAAAAGACGTTCCCTTCTAAGTCTATGGGATAGGGGCAGGAGAGCCTCCCTATGGCCATGAAATCCATTCACTAAATCTTACTAATGTGTTTTTTAAAGTTGTCTTGGACTTCAATACTTCCTTTTTAACCTCAAGACAGTTACCTAGTTAGGCTCTTATTGCCTCACAACCTGAATTACGACAACAGCCTCCTAGCTACTGCATCCAATGTAAACTCTTAAGCCTGACATGAGGGCCAGGGCCACCACACAGAGCACTGCCAGATTCGGATGTGAACGGTGCGGCTTGGAATTCATCAGAGGTGACCCTGCTTAAGACTCCACCTTCGAAGTCTCAGTGGTCTTCCCCTTTGCTCCCATCTTTTACTGCTCATCTTTTACATCTCATCTTTTACTGCTCCCTACATGCTCCCTCTGTTCCAGTCCAACTGTTCCCTACATGACACTCTACTCATTTCCCATCTGGTACCATTGCTTACTCTTTTTTAGCTATTAGACACGCCTTCCTCCTCTCCTTTCCACCAATTACGAGCTTTCTGAAGAGCTTTCCTGACTCCCTGTTTTTTTCACAAAAGACTTCTTTCCAAACCCATTTCCACACTGATCTTTCACTTACTTTGCATTCCTCCCCAGAACTCACGTAAGCAATCTAGGCTATCAAGGGTTACTTCACGGTGCTGGCGCACAACCTTAAGGTCAGGAATTTCACCACCATGTGGGTAAGTTTCACTCTGTCCCATGGACAGATTGTACTGCTAACTTCAGCCAAGCTTCCTGCAAACTTGGGGCACTGATCACAAGTGACCGTGAAAAAGGAAAGGACAGGTCAGTGCAAATCAACCATCACTTCAGGAAAAACTCAGCTTGCTTACAAGCTCCCAACCTTTTCTTTAGAATAATATTCTTAATATTTCATGGATGCATAGGAGTTAAATTCTACATACATGGAAATATTTTTGGTTTCTAATCTTATGTTTCAATCTCAGAGTTATATGTTGTGTGTTTCTGTTTTGACTGAGAAAAGGATCTTAGAAATCATGTAGCCTAACCTACCTTAATTCTAGATGAAGAAAATAAGGTACAAAGACATTAATTTTCTTGTTCAAAGCTGTCTATTGCAAGCTAGAATCCAGGTTTCTTCACTTCTTGACTTATATACCATGAGAAGTCCTTAAGCAGAGAGTAAAATCCAATGTTGACTTTAGTGACAAGTGCAAAAAATAGTGGCTATGGCTGTGAACAAAAGAGCAACTTTAAATGTGCACTATTATTTTATGAATATTTGTTGCACATAAATATTTTCACATACAGAATAGTATCTTCAAATACAAAAATATTCTTTATTTTTTTTGTTAAGCAACAAAAAAAATAAATTGAATTTTAAAAAATACTTAGCACTCTATTATGAAAAAAGCAAAGTGATCTGCACACAGATGTATTACAGACTGACTTTTAAAAGCAACTTTCTGGACATGCATGTGGTTTGTTTGAATTCAACCAAATATTTCTGCTGTCCATTGACATTATACAATAACCGCTGAAGTGAAAATTATGATTAAAGCATTGCAATGTTCTGAGGTGCCATCTGAAAATCTAAGTCATATGCATGCTTTTAATAATAATCTATCTCTGTGAAAACTGGCTCTAAATTTTAATTGTCACATAATCCAAACATTCAATTTAAACAAAGATGATCACCATCATTTTGAGTTGTGAAGTGTTTTATCGGGTGCTTCTTCAGTTTAATTCTCATGATGTAGCATAGAGTAACAGTTAAGAGCATGAACTGTGAGCTCATGCAATCAGTTCTGCTACTTGCCAGTTGTTCAGCTTTGTACAAGTTATACAACCTCTCTTTGCCTCAGTTTTTTAATGTATTAAATGGGGGATAATAAGTATCAACCTTCAGAGGGTAATTACAAGGATTGAGTTATTATTTATAAAATTTTTAGGATATTGCCTGGCACCTATGAGCACCACATAAGTGTTTGTTATATTTAAAATAAGAATAAATGCAATGATGTGGTGTCTTTCTCTTACTTTCAGATGAGGAAAAATTTGTAAAATCATTTGCCCAAGGTCACACACATTATTAGTAATTGGAAAACCTTCTCTAAGGGAAAGTTCTTAATTCTCAATTACAGAAGCTCATATTTTTCATTTCACACAAAAGTTACTCAAGAGTCTACCCTACCAACTCAGGGCATAGATTCTAGAAAGCAACTTAGACAGACATATTTTTAAGAATTCCTGGTAGTAAAAGAATTTAAACAGCTATTCTTTTCTTTCTGTCTGTCTTGCCTGTTTAAAGCTCTCTCAGTTTAGGTATTATGGAAAAGGCCTAGATCACATATGGTTCCAGAAACAGCAAGAGGATATCCCACTTAGAAACATTATCCTCGGAATGCTTGGAAAAACTGTACAATTACATCTGCTTATAAATAAAGCATTTCAAAGTTCTGTTTTGTGCATAAAAGCACTTAGAGTTAATTAAAACCAAGCTTGGTCCCTTTATCATCAAAGAAAATTAAGCCGCTTTTGTGAGCAAAAAGGCAGGAGTAAGATTTAAAAAAAAAAAAAGGCTGAGACTTGTTTTTGTAGGAATTCAGGAATTACAGAACTAAAAGGAACCTTCAAGAGCATGCATTTTTAGTAACTTATAGTGAGGAAATTGGACTTCAGAGAGGTAAAGAGATTGCTCAGACACACACAGCAATAATAATAACACGAGGCCTTAAACCAGATCTCCTGTGTATGTAAAATGTTAGAAATTTGAGGACTTATTTCCAAATCTCATCTATTCTGCCTACCTAAATTCTTTCACCCTACTAGTGCAATTCCAATTCTGACTCAGGGAGGAATCATGGGTGGAAAAGCAGCCTTAGGTATTTGTTGACTTAGTATCCAGGTCATTCTTGCTGCTCACTCTGTATCAGTTAGCCGGC